TTAGTTTTATTTATGAGACAGGCGTGAAGTTATGTAGGTATGTATATATTTTTTAACCAAGCCATATCTTCTATAGCAATTCGTTGATCACTGAACCAACCAACGGTATGTCCATTATGCCCTGGAAGCTGGGAAGATCTTAGTGGGGACTCTAGACGCCCACCCAGTGTCCTCAGGGAAGACGGTGGCACAGTGGTCACGTGCCATCGTGCATAGCGAGGCGTAAGGGTGATGCATATCTCCCCTGTGATGTGCCGTCACAGGCGTTTCATCGGAGGGTCCCGGAGCAGGTCTATTATAGAGTACTCGGTGCCCCCTATTGGTGATGATGGTAGCCACCGGGGTAGTTTTAGTGAGGTAAGAATCCCACACTCCCTAGTTTTCTTTCCCCAAAAAAGCTAGGCGCTTTTGGAAGGCTTCCACCCCGTTATCAAAAAAAAAAAAATAATGTGTGGGACGCAACCTGCGTCGAGACCCTTGCACCTTCTTATCTTCCAGTAACGGCGGGTTGTCCTGATTCGGCTGCGGCCTCTGCAGAAAACCTTAAGCGGCGCAAGTAGTAGCAGCAACAACCTTGCTAGTAGTTATATCTTTGAGCCGTTTGGGGTTGAGACGTTAGGTCCGTGGGGTTCGAGAGCCCATAAATTATTGAAAAACATTTCGAAACGCCTGGTCAACGCATCTCATGACCAGAGGGCAGGTCTTATTCTCGGTCAGAGGTTAAGCATTGCCATACAACATGACGATAGTGCCAGTTTTCTGAGTACTTTCCCTACTGACGTCGATGCGGACGAATTTTTCGATGCTTTGTGTAAATTGTTATTTTTAGTTTTCTTTTATTACATTTTTATCTTAAGGTTTATATTGTATATTTAGAGGTAGTAATAGTTAGTATTTATTTTATTTAAGTTTATATTATTTATAAATGAAAAATACTGACCAATGGTTCTATTCTATAAGAGGAGAAAATCCTAATGTGGGGCAAAGTTTTTTAAAAAAGAAAGAAAAAAGAATGGTTATAATGGTCTAGTGTAAAATGAAGGTTTTGCCATATGGGTTCTTACCGCTGGAGTGGTGACGTGGCTGGGTATGTGGCAGGTAACTGATGGAATGTAATTGGTCAGCAATAGTATGACTGGAAAGAAAAAATACATTTTATGTCTCCTTTATAATATCCCTATATCCAACCCAGCCTATCCTATATATCTCCGTGACCGTTTTCCTTGGCTCGTCCTCCTGAAGCCCTATCTAGATCCCACCTTAAGCCCCTTCTTGAAATCGTTCAACATAAAACCGATTTCTACTCCTACTCCTTCACTGTTCATGCGGTGAGACTGTGGAATTCGCTGCCGCCTAACATACGCGACTCCAAGTCCATCTCCATTTTTAAACGACTTGTCAGGGATTATTATCTTTCATCCCGAAGTACAGTTTTATGTATATATTTATAAATATTAATTCGCTTCTTATATTATTATTATTATATTATATTCCGGTCATTTTAGTTCTAGAGTAATTTCAGTTATTTTTTTGTTTTGTAATCATAGCATGTATCATTTACACTGTGTCTTATTTTTAAATTCCTTCTCCTGTCGCAGGTCTGCAGGAAGAAATCCCTTAAGGGATATGCAGTACCTATGTACTGTGCTTGTATTGTGTTGTCCTTTGTAATATTGTCTACTGTGTAGTATAGGTATATAAAATGATAAATAAATAAATAAAAAGCAAACTCATGCACAATATACAGTTGAACTATAAATGTGTTTGAAATAATTAAATTATAGAAAACCAGTTTCCGTGAGCGGCTTCGGTAATTTTCGAGAAAAAAATTGCCATTTTATCTACCTTTGTCAAGGAAACCACTGCCGTCGATCACAGCTGATGAAATATTAAAAGAGCTGAGTATTTCAATAATATAATAATACATATAATTATAACATCACTCCTTTTTATCCCCGAAAGGGTAGACAGATCATTACTCCAATTAATAACATATTATAGTACAACTAGCTACTCGCGCGGTTTCATCCGCTCTACTAGAATCGTATTGATCATAGCGTGCGTGACTATTTAGAGCCTATACCTTCCTCAGTACCACGGATGGGGCCCAATAGTCCTGATGCCGATACGGAGCCGCGGAGAGAACCTAACGGGTTACCAGGACTCCGGCTCGAAGTGCAGGAGTAGGAACAGGGTAGTTTTTAGTCTCTAAGAGTCTGATACTCCCTCCCGCGTCACACATGCGGGAGAAGTCATTCGATGATTTTCCCCCTTATAGAAAATACTTTCCTCAGTAAATGAACTATCTGGCTCGGAGGTTTAAGACGCCCGCTTCTTATGCATGAGGGTGCAGGTTTGAAACCTATCAACGGCAAGTACCAATGTGACTTTTTCCAAGTTATATGTACTTTCTAAGATTATCTAGACACCACTGACAAACGGTGAAAGAAAACAAGGTGAAGAAACCTGGACTTATAATTTCTATTTATAAGCCAACCCGCATTGATCAAGCGTGGTGATTAATGCTCAAACCTTCTCCGTGTGGGAGAGGCTTTGCTTAACAGTGGGCATCTATAGGCTGTTCATGATGATGATGATGATGATGATGATGTTTATACAGAAAACTTTTCGACCTTATATAATAATATGAAGCAATAGCTTAAACTCTACGAAATATAGTAGAAGATATGAATAAGTATATAATACATAGCAAATATATTTCTGCTACATCTAGAAGGGTCATTAGAGTCATGCAACGTTGCCGATTTTGGTGCTAAGTTGTATAAGCGTGTCTTTGATATAATGAAGTCTGAAGTGGTGCTGTGTTGTGGATGAAACCCGGAATGGCAACGATGAAAGAGTTTTTATGTATCTGTCTGTACCTACATGCTTTCACATTTTTATTATAAACTGCTCCTGCCTGGCACAATTTCACTCACTGCTCTGTTACTTTTGATTGTAGCATGATGTGTTGTAGTCTACGTTATCTTAAACTGTCAAACACCGCGAGGACACCGGTGACCGCAAGCTATTGTTCTTTAATTGTGTCTATAATGACGGTACTCAACGAGTTAAGAAATAAATTATCGAACACAAAGTTAGTAAATATTTTAAAATTGGGATTATTAGCTACGGCAATTTAAATAAAAAATAAATACTGACTTCACTTATAATATATATAATACTTAGGTATAATATATAATATACAAACAAACACAAACATATATTACAAACACATATATATATATTATATATAATATATACTATATATATATAGTATGTAACAATCAGCACATTTATTACTCACAGTACACTATTACTTCAAGTATATCAGACCACATTCCGATACCACATGTATGGCGAAAGATTGTACTCAACTTAGCAATAATTATGATAACAATAAACTACGTCTACGTGTTTTGAACTTTATAACACTGCCGCAGTCAGGGGCGCTAAACTTTAGTATACCAAATGAAAAGGAAAACCATAGCGAGTTTCAGACTCTCTCTCCAGCTTACATATCTATATATCATAATATGAGGTGTACACCAGTAATGGTCAAACATGGTGATATTGTTTAAACACAATGTTAATATCTAATATTAATAGTCATGAACACTACAATAGCATTTTGTAACTAATCGTTTTTTCAACGTTGACTGTAAAAAATCGATTCAGGTGTATTTTTTAAGGGCGTAAATCATCGAATGACTGCTCCCGCCTGGGTGAGGTGGTAGGGAGTGTCAGACTCTTACAGACAAAAAACCACCCCGTTCATTCTCCTGCACGTCGAGCCGGAGCCCTGGTAACGTTAGGTTCTCCGCGACTTCGAATCGACATCGGCCCTGTTGGGCCCTATCTGTGGAGGTCTGATGGTTCTTTGAGGCGCGCGCGGATCACGACGCACCGTACGCTCGGGTCTGTTTCTGGTCGGACGGGGAGCCACTCATGCTCGCCGTCCGCAGGCCCGCGCTTACGGTGGCCAGAGATCGTCCCGCGAGCGCGTGTTGCGAGGAGGCAGCGCATCGCTGCCTCACGCGTCCCGCCTTAGCTAGCATAACTACTTCGCAAAAGGAAGAGACGGTATCCCAGTCCCCCTCGCTCCGCATCATGACCTGCACTAGGCCCGGACGCGAGAGGTCGCCATCGCCGATCGCTTCCTTGAGGGCACGTCGGTCGCAACCGCTGTCGCCATTAAGTCGGCCACCGCCTAGTGCGACCTCCCGTGCGCTAGCACCAGCGTGTCGTCGGCGTAGCATGTTATGTTTACGCTGCTGGGGCGTAAGGCATCGTTCATACAAAACTTTTTGTCGGTCCAACGGCCAACGCCGACGACTGTGTAACGTATGCACAGTCAATACTCTAGTTTATCACTTTACCATATAGTATATATTTAAAATCTTGTTCCCACCGCACCTACTATACGTTATTACGTAGTGTGTTTTCGACAGTGAGCATACTCATAGTCGGTGGCGGACAAAACGTTTGGTGTGAATAATGCCTAAGTATGTACCTCTATATTCATTTACACATCAACAAAGAGTCTATTTTGAAATAAGACCTTTAAAATAAGAATCTTTATTCTTACTGACTTCTTAAATAAGTGACTCTCTGGTCCTTCTAAAAGAAGGAGAAGATTACAAAATTGACACTAATAATTTAATTTATAGGTAATGTGCCTTGTTTTGAGACATACATATATAACCTCACGCCTGTCTTGAAGGGGTTGGCAGAGAATATGGACCGGCAGTTGCTACGATTCTTACATACTTCTTTCGCCTCATCAACAGTCATTAATATTTTCATGCATGCTCGTCGGTTAAGGGTTTTTAAATTGGTTCTTCTTTAATTCATTCCAAAAGTTGACCTCCTCTGTATAATATTGAACATTCCACATAAGCTTCAATATTTTGTGTGTATATTAACAATTTCCTGCCCCATAATCCTAGTTTAATTTCCAAAAGTAAACAAATGTGGCTATTGTTCTCCTAGACCATTGTTGTTCATCCGTCGAAGTGATCGTGCATAATGATAGTTAGAAAAGTTGTTACTAGTAAGTTTCTTTGTCCTATCATTGTTTTAGAAATATAGCAATCTGATAAAAATATATTATTTTTATAATAACTTTGTAATAATAATTTTGAGGGTGCTCGAGTAATTTTAAGTCATAACTGATTAAGCCAATATAGTGTTCACAAGCGTTACTATAAGACAAAAAAGTTGGAGAATTTTGAAAATAAAAATGACGTCGCGTCATCTTACACTCTCCGCTAAAACATCAAATCAGTATTTTTATTAAGTTGAAATAAAAAAAAATAGTGAAGTATGGTTTTTTTTATGGCATAAGCCGGTAAACGAGCAGACGGATCACCTGATGGTAAGCAATCGGCGTCGCCCATGGACACCTGGAACACCAGAGGCGTTACAAGTGCGTTACCGGCATTAATTGGTGTTCATTATGTCTTTATTTCTATTAATATATTTATTCTTTCAGGTTTAATGTTAATTGGGTTGGCTGCTGAAGTCTGGTCACACGTTGAAATAGAAGCCGATGATTACTTCTTTCCATTGGAACCGGTACTTTGTCAATTTTTTTTTTGGTTTGTTATAAATTATAAACTCCCGCAATTTATAAAAAAATAAAAATAAATTATAAATCCCTAATTTTAAAGCTCTTTTACGGCTATAATATCCCACTAATATTAGATAGCGAAAGTATGTATGTATATTTGTTTATTAGTTTTTTACTTACTTCTTTACGCTACAGGTGAAGGAATCGGAATGAAATTTTGGAAGAAGGGTCTACCCTCATATTCTGGAATAACAAATAGGCTACTTTTTATGCCACTTCTAAGCCGGTGGCATAAGCTAGCATCATATTTTCCATAAAAAACATCGACATTAGTCGAGAGCATTCATAAACCATTTTTGAATTAAATGTTCACAAGTTGAGCCCAAGATTAGTTCTCGCCGCACCCAATGCGAGAATTATTTGATAAAAATGATAATAACAAGAGTAGGTGTATAACTATGTATTTATACACAGTCTCAACAACCTATTTATCTGTAGATTTGCTACAGACAGAAGTTTTTATATGAGCTTCATACAAATTATGGCAAAATTCTATTTCAGTAGGTAAATTAAAGTTAATCAATACAGGTAGACAAATGATTAAGGCTGGTCGCTAGAGAACGTCACAGAAAACCAATGTTTTACTCTCCCATAGGAAATCAATTATTGCAAGATGTCGGATCAATGCTGGCATGACTTTGTGCCAATCTGTGGTCAGGACGTCCGGGGTGTCACCAGAATTTTCAACGACAATTGTGACTTATTTGAATACAATTGCGATGAGAAAAGACGTGAGTAGTTGTAAGCACTTTTTGGTGATAAAAAGACTTTTTAAGTACATTTTGATAGTAGAGAATAAAATAGACAAAATAAACATAACACATCACTTCAC